AAGAAATGTTTCTAACTCACCTCTCTTAGATCTCTTTACGCCTACTCCCTAATAACAGACAGCCTAGCAATATGGTCATTTGTCACCCTCACGGTAATCGGCGATTGGTTGCGTGGTTGGGGGCGAGCGTTGCGTGGCGGTTTGTTTTTAATTTCACAAACGGCAGCGTAAGTCCGGCGATGATTGGTTGCATGTTTTATTGCATGACGCGGTCACTCGCTCCTTAAGTAGGGAGCGGTTGCGCCAGCGGTCTGTATAAATAGCAGTTGTTTTGGCTGGCCACTCACTTAGAGGTTAGCCATCGCAGAGTGTACATCACCTGTAGATGCCTCTTCTAGAGACAAACCACGTGTCGTATTGTCGTAAGTGGTGTGTCTTCCCTAGCGTAGTGGTGTAGTGAGTAGTGGTAACGGGGATAGTTCACGTAATTGAGGGAGGACGGGAGGTGCTCTTAAAACTAGGTAAGACACATCATTTTACTTTATCGAACGGATGTACGCAAGGTAATTTTTACCAACTTTAAAAAAGTTTCTGTTTCTGTTTCTCCTTTACCTTGCTGATCTGCTCACACTATTATTTTATTTTTCTTCTCATCATTTGTATTCTCTATGACACATTTCAAGTTGTTATAGTATTCCATCTTGTCAAGTGCATGTACCCTAAATTAGACGATTTCAGTAAGAGTATCTATAATTATTTCAATGATGCAAAGTATTTTGATGTGTATAATTTGATGACTCTATTGCGGTGTATCATTACCATCTTGACAGTCATAATGAGTTTTAATAAATTCTCTTAACTAGAAATTTGTTTCAAATTTTTGTATTTGTTTATTAATATGTATAATAATATTCATATCTTGAAATATGTTTAATAATTGTCATATTCATGTTTGAGTTTTGTAATAAACAAATTTTCTTATATTTTATCTATCGTTTAATTTCTTTATGTGTTTTTTTTTTAGTTTTAGTTTATATGTTAGCTTAGAGATGCTTGCTATAGATTCAGTTTGAGTCGTTTGATCAACATTGTATAGAAAATATATTTAAAAATATTTCAAAACCCTTCATCTAAAGAAAATTGAAGATTTATGGAGGATTTCCGTAACAGTTATTGTGGCCATATATAAAAAATGTGGGTGACAAATGAACACACAGTCCACACGAGGGTAAGTAGCTTCTAAGGCTCATAGACATCTACATTTATCCTCGATTATGATTCAAACGCGTTTTCACCCCTGAAGACTAACCCCTGCCTCGTTTCCAGTATAGAAGGTCTCCGGTTATACACTCAAACTGCTATTTTACGCTGGTATTATGTGAGAGCGTGGTCCTACTGCGGTGGAGCCAACCTATTCGTGCTACCAAAATATAGCTGCAGTGTAGCTCTATCACGTAAAATATAAATTTAATGCATCGCATCTTGCTATTAACTTCTACCGACTTCAAAAAGGAGACGGTACTCAATTCAATTATATGTTTTTTTTTATGTGTGTCTTTTTTGATTTGTAAGCTGGTGCTTTTCATGTGATTCCCTATAAATTTTATCAAGGTCCGGCCAATATTTTTTGAGTTATTCTTAATAGTTTATATTGCAGTCGGTTGTTCAAATTTTTTTATTTTAAATTATTCATACTAGTATCGAATATGGTGTATTACATGATTAAACGAAACGTAGTAAAGTAATACTTTTATTTAAATTTGGTAGAACATTAGACTCCGTTAACTTTAGACATATTTTCTGTACTACAGACTTTTAGTAAAATTATTGAGTAAGTAATTTTGGATCAAATATTAAGTTTTTTTAATATAAATGAATTACTCCATAAGGATCAATTAGGATTTAAAAGGGACCTTCTGCATTTAAGCCCAAAGCGGTCTGTTACAGAACCCTCGTCGCCTCAGATTACCTAAATGGCTGACCAGGATTAGGGCCTTTGCAGAAATGACTACAGGAATGATTTTGGTCGGCAGACCACAGCACATGTTGGTTTTCTTGTGAGCCAGGTCCAGATATTTTGTTTTCTTGACTGTTTCGGCTTTCACGAGGTCGTCATATGGAATATTATTTTTTTATAAGAGATGGGGTAAACGAGCATACGGCTCACGTGATGGAAAGTGACTACCGCCGGCCATGAACAACTGCAATTGCCAGCCTTTTAAAAGGAGTAAGCTCTTTTCTTGAAGGTCCCTAAGTCGTATCGGTCCGAAAAAATCACCGTTGGTAAGTTATTCCACAGAGAAGTCGTACGCGGAAGAAAACTCCTAGTGAAACGTACAGTGGTGTATCGCCAAGCATCCAAATGGTGTGGATGGTATCGCGAGTTTTGCCGCGATGTTCGTTCGTAAAATTTGGCTGCTGGTATTAAGGCGACACCGCGAAAAAATGCACCTCCATTCATCGAATAGTATAGGAGTATGACACGACTAACGAAACTGGAATTTTGATATAGGTAAATTCATGTTTTTATCTTGAGTTTGCTTGCTCAAAAACACGATTGTAAAATTTTGACTCGATCATAATTATTTGCGAAATCACCTCTAAAATATCACTTTAGTTGAAATTACAACGAAATTACTTAATCTATATGCTTGGAAACCACTCGAATACATTCATAACATCAATATTCGTAATTTACTTGCTCATTATTTTGATTGCTAAAATCAATAATTTTTTAAAAATATTTTAAGATTCTACGCGATTTCTAAGCGGTTTTAATAGTCGCGGGCGCTACGCAATTTTAGACCTTATGACGGCGTTTTTGAAGTTTTTATAGAAATTATGTTTTACTCTGGTTAGTCCGGCGATAGCCCGCTTCAACGGTTTTCGCGGTGTCGCCATAATCCGAACAATTCCTGTCGGTCAAAACAAATCTTAAATGTGCCTGGTTCATCAGCAGAAGATCAGGATTCACAAGAATAGTGCTGTCTGTGATTATGGCCCAGTACCAGTAGAGCCTGGCACGGTCAAATTTTAGTATTATTTAAATGGGGTATCTATATAATTTTCTCATCTGCTTGTGATGTATAAATATATAATTGTAAATGAAAATGATAAATATACATAAATATCGATAAAATAAAACAAATACATAAATAAATAAAAACCAAACCAAATGGATTATTACTATTATCACTATTTGTTGATGATACCTATTAAAGTTTCAAACGCAGACGGCAATCAACTAATTATGACGATGTAAAAAACGCATGCACTATAATGCCAAGAATTTGCTTTCGAACGGCATAAATCATAAAGTATAGACAACGCCCTAAAAGAGTCATACACTATAACACCAAGAATTTACTTTTGAACACCAAAAAACAAAATGTATAAAATTTACAATGCCTTATGTTAAATATTCGAATACTAGTATGCTCTTAAACGAGGAGAAGTTAAATCTTGTGGTTACCACAGTTTTTCTTGGAATTACTTATATGTATCTAAATTCGCAAGCAGATTTAGTTCTGCAGCATTTGCTATAAGAATTAAGAAAATATTAGAAGTCTCACCAATTTTCAAACGTAATGTGTTATGGAATTTTGCTATCGGGTAATGCGATTGACTTTTAAATATTATTTGATTTGCAAATTATAACTTAGTGCAATTTATAACTTAAATATAAAGAGTCACTTAGAGAAAATATAAAGAAATAAAAATATTATTAATGTTAGCATCGTTAACAAATATAATGAATGTACACAAAAGCATGAATAGTTTTGATAAGAATAAAGATGTCAATACTTAAATCACTAGGAACAAACATAAGCTTGTAATGCGAGTTACTAGACTCCACAGAATTAGTAATACATTTATGGGGTAATGTATACGCTTTTACACAAAATCAAAGAAAATCTTTAAAGTTTGTCAATCAACAAGTTTGTAAAGGTCATTAAAGAAAACTGTATAAAAATATTTAAGATATTCATACATTGACATTACACTGTAATTTTAATAAATTCATTACAATATATTATACTTTTTTTATGGGACACATGAATGAAAATAACCCCTGGGGATGATGTTATCGCTAGCATGCTTGTTCTATATTCATATAAATAAATGTACAAAATTATGGTAAGATTATATTACAATATGTCTAAAATCTAAAAAATTATCTCGCTAGGTTTTATGCTAGTTCTTTCCAGGACAGAGGAATATTCCAAACCAGGTGTAAATAACAAAATAATTTAATAGGTATGTTATGTAATAACGTATATTGAATAAAAAATATTCTATGCTATTCTGGAACAAATAAATAAATTTTCATTTTTCTAAAGACTGGGAATTAAATATTTTTATTTTGTTTATGAGGCTTCATTGCCAAGAAAAATTGTTAACGTTATTAGATACTGCTTGTTTAAAAACTTTGGTCCTCCACGTTCATCACATTTGTGATAAAACGAGAGATAAAATTTTAATAAACTTTCTCGGAATGATGACAGATGACTTAAATGTTAAATCAGGCCATTCATATATTCTTGTTTTGTTTTTGAATTAGTCAACGTCACATGCTATTATTATAGTATTAATTTCTATATTAAGATTTGAACGCTTATTTTTATTTTTATTTATAATATTATTATTGTTATGTCCATGAAACTATTTTCAGAAAACACTTTCTCTTGTTAATCCATGCACATCTATCTTAAAATTATATTAAAAAAAAGACAACTATAGAACAAATACATTTATTACAATTCTTTTAAAAACCCCCTTGTTCTCATGATATATATAAGAAACTGTGTCAAAGATGGTCACTGTAGAAGAAGTCAGTAGAAGTCACAGTGTTCTTTCTGTGCATCGCGTGTAAAAGAAAGGATGTGGCGTCTTCCCTGCACTTTTATATATTTATATGAAAATGATGTCGTAAAGCATAAATCATTTGCGTGTGTAATTGTGTGTGCAACCGGTCTTCATTCTTAAATTTAGAAATCTATAAATATCCGAAATTCACTCAGCGTTATTTTAAAATTGATACAGTTTACGCAATGACTGATTTAATCTCGTGTGGATAATTTGAACAAGAATTTTCGGATACCCATACAATAGATTGGTAAATACTCGTCCCATTTGATATGTGTTGGATCAAAAGGAAACTCGAGACGATCTGAAACCGACAATGAAGCAAATAGATCCTGAGTGCGTTGACACTTCATTTGCCAGGAATGTGATGTAAAGTACTGCAAAGCACTACGTGTTTGTAGAATCTTTCTCTGCATCTTCATAAACCTGTTGATAAGATCAAATTGTTTGAGTATTTAAAATTACTTCAAGGGTTCTTCATGGATAAAAGGGCAGCAAACGAGTATTCAGTCTACCTAATAGTATGTGGATACTGTGGTCCATAGACACCTAAATCAAAATGCAAATGCTTTGTCATCCCTGAGAATGAGATGTTCGATAAATGTTAAAAGGATATATAGTTCTCTACACCATAGAAAAAATATCAGTATTAACATTTTAATACATTTTACACTATTTTACGCTTTAATTTGCTTTTGTGAGAGCATGGAATCACAGAAGAGTTGGTACAATTGTAAAAGCCATCGGACGTGATTACCGTGGCTGGTTCACTACCCGCTTACGTCAGTAGATTGACTTCGCAACCTACATCTTGTTAGTTCCAGTCAAATTTTTTACTTGCTCAAAGACCTCAGAACTTCGACCCATGTCTTAGTCCGCCAAGATCCAGCAAAAAGGCAGTTTTGGAGTCACGCTTCACCACTTTTCAAAGTTGTGAAACGTGACTCCAAAAAGTTTGACGTAGAAATCTCAACTGACCGCCTAAGGCCAGCGTATGTTGCCAAAGAGACTCCAAAGATAATTCCGCAACCCCGGAGTGACGATGGTCAAGCTACCACCAAAACGACCAGAAGCCGACGCACTGTCCAATTTTCGTATTACATTTCCATTGCATTAGTCGCGTCACTAGCAGAGCTCAATGGTCGCCTGTGTACCTATTGTTTTCAACAATGACAGCGTGGGCGGAGTTTAATGGCCGTCTGCGCAGGTATTGTGTTCTTTGTAAAAATAAACAATCGGAGCGTAATTTAAGACAAACTGTAACATATAATTTTAATTATTACCGTAAAACGGGGTGAATAGTGATGCTGGTGTAAATAGGAAAAAACTGAGGTTTTCTTTTCTACTTACAGATACTCTTACATTTTTTTTACTTCTTGTAAGCCAGTGCTTGACCGCAATCCCACCTGGTGGTAAGTGGTGATGCAGCCTTAGATGGTAAATCGCAGTGTCTTATCGTAACAAAAGCCTATTCACCCTTGTCTTGAAGACGACTAGATTGTATTCGGACGGAAAGATACTCGCCGGCAAATTATTCCACTCCTTTGCTGTACGCATTACAAAAGATGAAGCAAGCCGTTTGGTTCTAATGCGTGGAATATCGACAACAAAGGGATGAAGACCCGCCGACTGTCTGGTTGTCCGATGGTGGAATGGAGAGGGAGGAATTAAGGCGTGTAATTCCTGCGCACACTCACCGAAATGCATCCTATATAATACCGAGAGACTGGCTACTCAGTGCCTATGCTCGAGGCTGACAAGATTGGTTTCAACCAAATCAAGGTCACCAATGAGCCTCTTAGCACGTCTCTTCACTGAGTCAAATGCTGCCAGGTGGAATTTTGCAGCACCAGCCCATATGTGACAGCAGTACTCCATGCACGACCGGACTTGCGCTTTATATAAGGTAATAAGCTGCCCCGACGTGAAGTACCGCCGCACCCTTGCAAGGACACCAAGTTTCCTTGCGGCTGCTATGGCTGTGGACTCAATGATCCGCCCATAGTTTAGGTTCTGAGAAAATTCAATCCCTAACAACTGAAGGCGGACAGTGTACTCCAAGGATACATTCCGGAAAGTAGGAGCCAAAGTGAGCGGGCTCCTTTTAGCGGTAAAATGACACGCTTGTGTTTTGGAGGCGTTAAATTTCACGAGATAGGCATCGCCCCATTCGGAGACTGCCTGTAGTGTGAGACTCACATTCTCAACCATAGCTTCTCTTTCTGACTGGATTTGATCCCGACTAGCCCGGGCGCTTGGTTGGTATTTCTCCACAACTGTGCTGTCGTCTGCATACCCATAGACACCGGGAATGAGCAGATCATTTATATGCAGCAGGAAGAGAGTTGCGGAGAGATCGGACCCCTGAGGAAAACCGGCGTTAGTCGCCACAGTATCGGATGAGCAGCCATTAACGACGACCCGGAGAGACCGTTCACTCAGAAAGTCCTTCAACCAGACAATTAGGCCAGGGGATAAGCTGTACGCTGAAAGCTTGCCCAATAGACTAGCGTGCCAAACCCTGTCAAAAGCCTTCGAAACATCGAGGGAAACAGCAAGTGTTTCACCACTATTCTCGAGGGCTTCGCCCCATATGTGAGTGGCATACGCTGGAAGATCCCCAGTTGATCGATTTCAGCGAAATCCGTACTGGCGATCACTGAGGAGATCCAGGTATGCCATGAGGTGGGCGTTCAATATACGCTCCATAATCTTACAGAGTATGGAGGTAATTGAAATTGGTCGATAGTTGGCAGGGTCGGTACGGCTACCTTTTTTAGGCACAGGCTGCACATTGGCCAGCTTTCAAGATTTAGGCACTATTCCAGTCCTGAATGAGAGGCGAAACAAGCGTGTCAACACAGAGGACAACTCACGTGCACAGAACTTTAGAACTATAGCTGGTATACCATCAGGTCCACTAGCTTTGTTCTAGTCGCATACAGGGAAATTTTCAAATTATGTTTATTTTATTTTTAATTTAGGGTAGTTTTATTTACACTGGCAACATCACTATTTAGAACATCATTTTGACCATAAAAACGTTTGTTAATATGAACAATAAAAAAGTGAAAAATTTTGTTTTGTCAACATTTAAATTTAGAGATATTAATTGCTAGTTTAGAGTGATGCTGATGGCTTATTCAGTTGGATTGCGTTTTTTATTTTAATTGTCTAAGAACTCAAAGACTATAAAAATAAGTAGAAACGTTACATATTTCACATTTAGTGGTAATTTTTTAAATGACCTGCATTTATTGATATTTTAGAGTGACTAGGGACGTGTCAGGGGAGAATACGGGACGGGAAAGAGGATATTTGGAACGGATTGGGGGTTAATAGCGACGACTGAGGGGTGAATGGGGTTTACTTTATAGGGTTTTCCAAAATTACTTAGGTCTTTTAAAGTTAAAAAGTTAAATTTAGGTCTCTATTCTCATTATTATTAAAGAAAAATTATTGATATGATAATTACGATGTGCGTCATGAAAATAAACTTCAATCTACTCTCTTCAAGAAATGACAATATAAAGAGTCATATAAAGAGATAATTCATACTTAGGTGAGCTATAATAATCAAAAATTATACTAGGTCGGGGAAAATGTTTCTTCGTATTTTATATACAAATTTAAGACAATTTTTTAAAGTTGAATAACATTGAATTATATGTATATGTGCAATTTTGTTCGATAACTTGTAACCACTTGTAAGTAGTGACATTATCTCTGTCATAAAAAACTCTCTGCTATAGAAAACTTGGAATTATTGATCAAAACAAGCGAGTAGTTTTGCGAGTCCTCTATTTATGCTAACCTAACACTACCCAAAGAATTCAGAACAAACCGAAACAGGTAAAATCTGAGGGTTTAAATTGGGGACTAAATGGTGGATTCATTAGCACTTCCCAACCAAGCTCTGTCAATATTTGCTGAGTGTCCAAAAATGCGTGTGGTCTGGCGTTATCATGATGAAAGACCGCTCCTTTTCTGATGATCAATTCCGAGCGTTTCTTCTCAATGAGGGCATCCACGACTTTTACGACGATATACCAAACGACAGATATACATAAAAGTGGAGAAATTTAAAAAAAAAGTAAAAAAATGTGCAAAAAAATTAAAGAGCAAACCACTGAGCATTGTTTTGTGTATTAATTTAATAATCTAGAAACAGATAAACTTTTATTAAAAACCAACTTCTCATTTAAATCAGTATCAGTACGACCACGCGTTATTGTGGACGGACGTATTCAGGCTATCGAGGGATTTTTAAAAACATTGCAAACAGTAAATATTTTTGAAAAAGTATCTTATTGCTATAGTCATAATATTGAGAGCCGTAGTCAACTTTGATTATCGATGGGTGCAGTCAAACGTCAGTCTACGTGTAACTGCGATCCCCACCTCTGCGCACAAAGATTGGTAATATATCAAGCTATTGGCACATGAATAGATTAATGAACGTAAAGAAGTGATATTTTTTGATAATGCAACGCTCTCCAACAAATAAACGTTTTGATTCCGATCCGAATCTATCCAATATTGCCGCTCGAAAACGCAAGTATGATCACGATATTTCAGATTCATTCAAATTATTCACTGATAATATATTGAAAAAGATGGATGATTGGAAGACAGATTTTAATAATAATTCACTTCAAATTAATGACACTTTAAATTATTTGATTAAGAACGACCTTACAAAACTGAACGAGATTGTAGTCGAGGTGAAGGCAGAGATCAATAATATGCGTAAGGAATACACAGAGATTAGGACTGACGTAGTAAGATTAAAAACTCAGCAAGTGGCAACACAAAAAGTAATTAATAGTCTCCAGAAATCAGTACAATTCAATGCTGATCAGGAAGACCAGCAAGTAAAAAAGATTGAAACTTTAGCTGTCGATATTAAGAAAACACGTGAAATAGAGATGGAAATTGTTAAAATAAAACAGCAAAATATGCAATTACAATCACAACTGAACTCAAGTGAACAGAGAGAGAGAGATTATCAAATTGAAATTGTCGGTGTGCCGGAATGCAAAATTGAAAATATTCAAGACCTTATTTTGAACATTGGAAAACATATTGGTCTCGATATTCCACCAAATGATATTTTATAAGCGAACAGAGTTTCTCCGAAAATAAAATTACAAGGTCGTCCCAGAGTCATATTAGCTAAAATGCGAACAAAGCTCTTGAAGGACAACATAATTTTACGGGGCCGCAAAGCTCGGATTACCTCAAGAGATATCGATGTAACAGGAGAAAGCAGACCCATATATATTAACGAACATTTAACCCACTTTAATAAACAACTATTGAAAAAATGTAAGGAATTGGCCAAAATAAAACACCATCAGTTCGTCTGGGTAAAAAATGGGTTTGAAGATCATAAGCGAAGAGGATCTCAAGAAACTAAGTGTTTC